CAACAAAACCAACACCCACCAAACCCACTAATTTGCCCTGTGATGAAGAATAAATCAGCTCCAAAAAATAACCTTATTTGCCACCTTCTCCCACGAGTCCCTCTAGCCACCCCCTGCACTGGCCTCCCTCTGCAGCAGCCTGTGAGCAGGATCTAAGCTGAGACAGAGGAGGGGGAAAATATGGAGAAGGAGGAGGGAGAGGGAAGGCAGAGAGCCTTTGTACCTAGAAAGCCAGGGCTACTCTTGCTGCCCACCCTGGAGGCACCACCTCTGCATCAGGCAGGAGTAGCAGAGGGAGAATCTGAATTTAACAAGCTCCCTTTCCTTTAATTGGGGCCCTCAGGCACTGCTGTAGTGCACCTAATGGCACTAATTATTAATGAATTGGCCCTGATGAATAGGAAGGCTGAACTGGTCTCCTCGGGTTGTCAACCCTTCACAGAGCCTGCTAGATTTCACTGGGCAGGAAAGAAACTGCACAGGATTAAACAGGGCTCTGGAAAGGAAGAGGGCTGGGAGAGTCATTGATGTTTGTCCCTAGAATGTGCAAACCAGCCAGGGACCAGTAGCATCTTACTGCTGCTTCTAAGGCATAGACAGAGCCACGAGAAAGTTCTGCAACAATTAGGTACTGCACCTTACCTTTATACCATCCCTCTATAAGGACCAACCAGTTTGCCCTTGCTACTATCCAGCCAGCTTTTCCTCAGTTTTCAGTGTCCTGGCTCAAGCTTTTGCTCCCGGCACAGGCCTGCTTCACCTCCTTGTTACAGCCTTCGAGCAGGAGCAGATGGGGAAGAGATTTGTCGTTGTTGTTGTTTTACCCTTTAAAGCAAAAAAATAGACTGCCACCACCTCAGCCCAACGCTGGCACAGTCTCACCGTGTTGGAGGGCAGCCCAAGGGGGGGAGGAAGGTGCAGCCTCCCTCCAGGCCACAGCCGGGCTGATAAAAGGTGGAGGCTGGCAGAGAGCAGCCGGTTGCCAAGCTTGGGTTCATCTAGCGCGGCCAGAGAAGGAAGGAGCCAGCTTTCTGCTCCCTCCAGGGACTGCGGTTGCTCAGTCGAAGCTGGGGACAGGAATTAGGGCAGGCAGAGCCGTAATGGCTGCAACTCTCTCCAATTTATCCAGCCAGCTAGAAAGACACTGGCTTGTCTTTCGTTTCAGTTCTGTTTTGATTTCCTAGTTGATCTGCATTTACAGTGGGTTTTTTCCTTACTTGTGTGCATATTTCTTTTGTTTAGACAGGTGATGATTTTACTGTGGTTGCTGCGAACATTGAAATATTTTTCTGTTGCACTTTTTCCCCCTTCCCAGTTCACCAGCTCACATTTGCCCAGGAGTTAAGGGGTATTCAGAGGTTTGAACCTCTCCAGCTTTTGCTACTGCAGCTGCTGCTGGGGCAGTGGAATCAGCCTGGCAGTGGGACCAGCCCAGCCTCCCCCCGCAGCCCTCTCCTGCCAGCCCTTACAAACCCTACAGGTGCAAGGTGACAGGAGGCAAACCGAGTACTCCTAGTCCTTTCTGGGACTTGGGGGAGAGCTCACGTTTCCTTAGCCACAAACCAAGGCAAGGCATAGCCATCATCTCTAGGTTATAATGATTTTAAAAAAAAAAAAAATTAAAATCGACCACTGCACTCAGGGTTCAAAAGTAACTCCTGAAAGGGATAGAAAGGGGAACAACCAATGCCTTGTGCAGTTTGTAAATTGAATGGGGGTGGAGGGGGGAGCACAGAGTTTGTTGGTTTCTCGTTTCCCCCCCCAAAAAAACCCTAAAAAATAACAACACCCCTCCCCCAAAACCTAAAAAATAAC